ATCAACAATTCCCAAAGCAGTACGGATCTCTCCGGAATCTTTGCACATGGACGTTGATACTCATGAATCTATGTGTGCTAGCTCGGGCGAGAAAAATGCCGTTGGGTCTCCACATAATTCCGTGTTGGAGTTCACGAGAACCAACAGAAACACGGAACTCAATCTAAAGGGCGAGAAAGTTGATGATAGTTCAGTCTCACTGGTTTTACGGATTGCTGATTTGTGTGGTATGACTTACTTTATGTTGTTTGGAACTCAAATTACTATATTTTTGTGATACCATTGACTTTCTGTTCGCAGGTCAAGCAAGAAATATCCATTTCCTCTTCTACCTCGAATCTGACACAGCTATGTCTGTTGCTGCGGAAATGGTTGAACAGTTGGAGCTAGCAGACTGCGATGTTACTTTCATTGCTGATTTTATTGACCTTCTGATAGTCAATCTTGTTCCTGGTCGGAAACTGGCAAATGATGCAGCGATGAGTCCATATGTGGAATCTAAAACGTGTGGAAGTGAGCAAGTAACTATTTCCCAGCAGAACCCATTAGAGATGCCACCTGATTATGTGTTAGTTCAAAGTACAATGCATCCTAAAGATATCAGTGCATCGCCGAATAAATATCTTGAATCTGTCTTAAGTGCAACTAACCTAGAGGGGCCAAAGTGCTCTGAGGGGTCGGACTTTTCTGCGCAGCTTGCTGGGAGTTCTGAAAGTCCGAGATACGATGGGACTGGTGACTGTGGGACTATGTACTGTGGTGGGTACAAAGAGGGAATCCACAAACTAGACTGCAACCATGTTCTAGGTGATGGGTCAAGGAACATTTCGATTTTCCATATAGATGAAGCATCGCCTCCTTCGGAGCTGGTGAGTGGTTGCTCGTCAATTTCCATCACCGATAGTCAAGATGTGCTGAATGGGGAGCTTGATTTGATTGAAGTCGAGTACAAAGATTGGTTTGATGAATTAGCAAGGATGCGGGAAGAAGCTATGGAAGGAGGAGGACAGGAGAAGTGGTTACAATATAATGAATGATGTTTAAGTTCGAGTATCGTGTGTGTCTTGTCTGAAACATCATCGGAATGTCTTTAGATGTTCCTCTGCCTCCTGCTTCTACAGTTTTGTGTTTTGGTCATGCAAATGTGGGTTATAATAATCGGTAGGATCATTGTCATCGATGTAGATTTGCACTGTTGCCCAGTGCGTTTATAATTAGTTAGTTCTTTAGCTAGCTCTGAGTTTTCCCAGCATTACAACTTTGACTTTGATGTGTCATCGGGAAAACGCAACTGTTGTAGATACACGGCTGCAGAAGTTTCAGTATTGGAATGAATATTGCAGCTGAAACATTCGATCTTTGCGTGTTCGTTATATATGTAGTTCCCCAATTTTTAACCAAACCTTTTGAGGGTTAAATAGTGCACGCAGAGCAAAGTTCAAGGAGATCAAGTGGCTCATCCATAGCGCCAACAGAAAGAAGTACAGGAGGCCTTGGTCCTGTCATTTAGATGATTGCTCTTGTTGTTGTGCATTTCATTTGTGTGCATAGTTTTATATCAGCTGCAATGGCTCTTTTATAGGAGTATTATAACTGACAGGAACCCTAGTCGCCTATTTGCTTGGGAGGAGAGACGAAGGGGCAAGTAAGGGACAATGGTGTTAGGAACCAACCCTAGGTTTTTTTATCCTAGTTGGTCTTTTCCTATTTGCTTTTTTTAGCACAATCCACTAGGTTTATTGATTAATAATCAACGCGATACAAAGAATATCATGAGGTACGCTAATCTAACGAAGAATCAAAACTAGCTAGATTGTGGGTATTCATAATTTGAGCCTCTTTTTTCATGGACAAAATTACACAAGGTAAAAGAAGAACTAGGGGGAATGCCTAATGGAGCTTGAGCTCCATGGAGCCCTTTGAAAACTTCAAAATTCAAATTTTAAGTTTCAAAAAATTCTGAAAAAATACACATATAGTGATATACATATGGATGTATACTACTTGTCTGCGAAATTCCATGAAGAAATACCTTTTAAAGCTACACAAAATGAAAAAAAATCACGTATTTCTAACACATGTACTGTTCACTATAAATTCACATGATTTTTTTTGTATCATGCACATCTGTATACACATATAAGTATTTATGTACTTTTTCAGATTTTTTTAACTTTAAAAATGATTTTTGAACGTTCAAAAATAAAAAAATCCACTCTCAAGAACTAGCTACTATAATGTCCCTGATAATCACTTCATATTTACCACCTAATGGAGCCCAAAATTTCAAAAATTGTCTTTTTAAGTTTCCAAAAAATCTGAAATAAAATACGCAAGTACTTACCAACGTACAACATGGGTGTAAAAATTCATTATGAAATTTTGTTTTGATATGAGCTGTACACAAAAACATCATGTGCTTTTATAGTAAAGTGAATAGTACATGTGCTAGATTTTTGTGTAACTCTTATAAAAAAAATTACATACAAAGTAGTATACATCCACAGGTATGTGTGTATTATTTTCAGAATTATTTGAAACCTAAAACTTAGATTTTAACGCAACTTCTGAAATGTACATACTTATTATGAGATCTACTTAAGTAATAAAAAGAAGTATATTGCGTGTGTGTTTATTGTCGGCAACCCAACACACATCTACTACATCTGTACCAAAATATAAGATGTTTCTGTAGCCTAAAAAAAACAGCCTATATTTTAATACGGAGGGAGTATTTGTCAACAGGGGACCAGAGTGCCACTGTCGGGCCGCTGAACCCCTTGCCTTCATTGTCTTCTCGACCCCTAACCTAAACTCATACAGTACAAGTTTCGAGGGTGGAGAATGGAAGTTATGCACGGACTCACAATCATACCCATTCTTGTGCTGGTTGAATAAGAAGAGTATTCATACACCAAATCAACACCTCTAGCGCGCGCGCACACACACACACAAAAAGCATCTCCATACCAAAAAGCCTGCAATGTCACATAAAGGAAGTGTCCAATTACCCCGCAAAAAAAGGAAGCGTCCAATTAACAAACCAACATTGAAGTGAGCTTCTGCACTGTCAGATGTATATCACTTTACTTTGCACAAGATTGGTGGCTTTTGGCATTGTGTGCTGCAACATAATTTGATCAAAGAAGCTCCACATGTTCGCATGTCCAGATACTCAAGTTTCACAATGCTTGTAGACATGTACTAATCGAATCCACATCTGCCAAAAGTATGTTTCTCCATTGTGTCAATTTGGTCATGTACCTGAAAGCGAATGCTTCATATGTGTATTAGCAGAGTGTTTGGCAAAATATGAATTCCGCTCCAGGTTACTCATGTAGACAGTCTGTTGCAATTATATATAACATTAGCCATGTTTACAACAAAGTCATCAAAAGGTTACAGCAGACACATGCTGTACCATAGTCATGTCCGCCAAATTGCTTTTCACACAGACAAGCACAGCTAAAAAGATTTTCACTTCACTGTAAAAAGATAAATTTTGGCCTATAAAATTAAGCATTCTCAAAAGGCTCTTGTAAAAAAAAGGAATTAAGCAAGTCAACGTAGTAAGTACAACAAGCCAATCTAAACACACCAAAATGAATATTTTCTGCTATATATGTTGACACTATAAAAGATATCAATATAAAGCTTTTTGTTGGTATCGGCTGGTATAACTGAAGTTTCAAAGAGAGGAAACATATTAAGCAAGGATCCTATTAACTTGAAACTAACATTACTTGTTCTCCAAACATTTTATTCCGTCATTTCTACTTTTCCTTTCTAGGATCATATGGAATTTTTTCCGTCTATTTTTCCTAATAAAAAAGCGACCTGGCTTCCTTTATTTACCTAATCAATTTATATTAAGGAACAACTCCCTTAAGAATATTAAAAGAACAACCTAAATTACTTTTAGAATTAGTCCCCTTGGACAATGCCAGAGCTGGAGGCATGGCAGACGAACACTTCTATGCCAGTGCCCTGGCTGAAATGTGAGCACAAAGGCATTAAAATTACGAGTAAATCATATTACTGGTCCCAAAACTTGACCGGCAGGTTCAAGTAGGACACTGTACTCTCAAACTGCCTATCTAGGCTACTAAACTAGTTTTAAGTGGATCACTCTAGGTGTCAACTAGTTTGGGCAGCCTATGTAGTTTCCATCCATTAGCAAAGTCACTATTATGGCAATATACTTAGCTGGCCTTAATTCCTTGCTCTCATTGGGTCCCTGACATGCAGAAATTTATATAAGGTCAAGACTCTAGGGAGGCTGAGGGCAAATTACAGTGCTCATGCCCGTCATCAGGTACTAACCAAGCACAGTGGCATCAGTGAACATGCCATGTCATTTGATCTGTCACACAAAGGATGCCATACCAATTACCTAGAGAGAAACATCTCAAGAAGTTTAACGACCTAGACCTGCAGTTTGGGAGTTCGATGACCCAAGTTAGGTGACTGCAGCTCAATGTACTACATGGTTAGAAAAAGGCGCTTAAGCATGCCTAGGCTCTAGGCGATAGCAAAACGCCTAGCGCTTAGGCGTGCGCTTTTGTTAGAAAAGCACGAGGCGGTGGCAAAACGCACAATTAACGCCTAACGCTTTTAAAACTTTGTTCCTAATAACAAGTGTAGATTTGCCTTAGGCATGGGCGCATGGCACCACCACGCAGAAAAAGGTGACACAGGGTGGGCAAGTGTCATTCTTCGAAATAAGCTAGGGTGTGAACTTTAAGAAAAAAACTGTAAAGAAAAAGATTTCTAATGAAAAATCCTAAGCTACATTTGCATTACAAAACAACTTCGGGTAATATATTTCAATATAGTACAATTCACCGAAAGGAAGATGTGAAGAAAATCCCCTTATTGGTGCCAGAACGAGCAACTCTATTGACAACAGAAATTTCCAGGGTTGCAACAAAAAGAAAAAAAAAATCGTAATCCGTCTTCCTTTTTCTGACACCAGAAGAAAGAACAACAATTGATAATCCCTAGTTATGCACACAGTTGAGCGGTGAGGACAATCGACTATTCCAGTAGGCAGTAGCTAAGCAAAAGAGAAGGGTGAAGAGCTCACCCTCAGTCTTGGGGGCAGATTGCTTGAGCTGACCATCGGCCTTGGGCTCACCGTCAGTCTTGGGGGCCGATTCCTTGGGCTCACCCTCAGTCTTGGGGGCAGATTCCGCGGACTCCACCTCCCTCTTGACCAGCCTCGCCTTCTTCACGATCTGCGCCAAGCGAGGGTCACACCAACAAGCACGTCAACACAACTCGATCGGGGGCATCAGAGTAAAACGACGCAAGGGAACGAGGAGGCGGAATTGGGTTTGAGGGCAGACCTTGTTTTTGATGGGGCAGACGTACGGGCAGGTGGGGCAGAAGAGGCGCAGGCGGTGGCCGCCGGTGGCCGGCTGGATCTGCAGCAGCATCCCGCACGCCGGGCAGAAGTCCATGGCCGCTTGCCGCACTTCTCTGCCGCTGTGCTACGGTCGGCGGCGGCTCTGCGATGAGTTTTTCTTTTCTTTTTTGAGGGGTGTTTCCAGGGTGGGGTGAAACCCCACTAAAACCCTATGACCAGGGTGGGTGTTTCCAGCCCATTAGTATTGGGCCGACCGTGTGAACGGCGGTCTGACCTCGAGGCCCACATATTTTGTACATGGAATTATGGGAATTCACCGTGCTCCCTTATTCTTGCTCAAAAAAAAAAACCGTGCACCCTTATTTTAAAGCCCTCTCGTTCAATTGAGATGTTCGACTTTAGATTTGGTTTACAATTTTGACCTCGTCAACTATTTCTCAACGAGCCCTCTCATTGAGATGAGGTATCAATTTTAGATTTGATTCACAATTTTGAGTGGATCAATAATTTCTTAAATTAATCGACATCAACCAGCATAATACGTGTTTTTGTTGATTAGCGGATATCACGAACTGACATGAAAATCCCACTAAAACACCATATTATAAAAAAAAGAACGCACTTCATCATCTTACCCGTGCGTCAAACCAATTCTTATCTTTATGGAATCTTAGCAACACCAACGGCACAACGAAACGCGCCCAACACTTCTAATTAATGCGAAATTCTAAAGTCCGCAATGCAAGAGATGAATCATTTCATAGGATAGGATGACCAAAATTTCAACCTATCCCGCATTTTTTTCTAAGAAATCATTGGAGAAGAGTTCTCACATGTGAATATATTACTCAAAAGATGCCATGCCAAGAGAGAATCGTTCTTTTGTTTGGTTGGTCTAGTTTATAAGAGCGTCTACAACCAGTCACCTTAAATCGGTCTCAAACGCCCGAACGGCCAGACCAATCACTGATCGGTAACAAAAAGAATAACCCGGGCGTCTCAGACCGGCCTCTCAAACGATTGGGATGTCTGACGCGCCTCATATCTAACCCAAATGTAGTGAAGATATGGGGCGGCCCGAGTGCGTCCGGGCGCGTTCGCCACGTCAGCCCGGCCCACCGCCGCCCCTAGTCTGTCCCTGAAAGTGCAACTAATCCCCAGGTGGTTTTGGTAATTCATAACAACATATAGCTCATTGAACTAATATCCATTCAAGATAAATATTTCAGGATCTTCAATGATTGGCATGGCATGGACTAGAGAAGTGGACCCCTCGAAATGCTAAGGACAAAGATTGGCAAAACCGATCAAGACTCTTCATTTCTATTTAAGTCATCCAAGATCACATTGAGACCATAGAAAAGCCAATACTATTAAAAAGGGGTGAGGTGTTGCTTGATGGTCTACTTGCTCAAAGTGCTTAGTGATATTGTTCCAAAACCCTCAACCACTTTCTCCATCCAAATATATTCAAACTCTAATTCCAAACTCGGCCCCACCGATTCTTTCTATCCGGAGCCACCTAGTTCATTTGACATAGCCACTGCCAAAAACCGTAACGATTCGGTCACACCGATACAGATCTCGGTCTCACCAAGATGGCCTTGCCAGCACTTTGTGATCGGTTGCACTCACTTTGGTCCCACCGAGTTTGTGCAATCGGTCTCATCGAGTTGGCTTGACAGATTCTCTGTTGCTTATCGCTTCACTTCGGTCCCACGGAGTTGATGCAATCGGCGCCACCGAGTTGATGTTTATCCTAAGCCCTAGCACATCGGTCCCACCGAGTTGTTCCAGTCGGTCCCACCGAGATTCCTAATGTTCATATTTTTGAACAGAACGGTGCCACCGAGATGAGTCAAAAGTGTGTAATGGTTGAATTTTGTGTGGAGGCTATATATATCCCTCCACCCCCTCTTCATTCAGATGAGAGCCATCAGAACGTGCCTGCACTTTCACCATACATTTTCTGACAGAGAACCACCTACTCATGTGTTGAGATCAAGAGATTCCATTCCAACCTTTTGAACCTTGATTTCTAGCCTTCCCCAAGTTGCTTTTCACTCAAATCCTTCTTCCACCATAGCCAAATATGTGAGAGAGAGTTGAATGTTGGGGACACTATCATTTGAAGCACAAGAGCAAGGAGTTCATCATTTACACACCATTTATTACCTTTTGGAGAGTGGTGTCTCCTAGATTGGTTAGGTGTCGCTTGGGAGCCTCCGTCGTGATGTGGGGTTGAACCAAGAAGTTTGTAAGGACAAGGAGATCGCCTACTTCGTGAAGATCTACATGAGTGAGGCAAGTCCTTCGTGAACGATGGCCATGGTGGGATAGACAAGGTTGCTTCTTCCTGGACCCTTCGTGGGTGAAGCCCTCTGTGGACTCGCGCAGCCGTTATCCTTCGTGGGTTGAAGTCTCCATCAACGTGGACGTATGATAGTACCACCTATCGGAACCACGCCAAAAATCTTCGTGTCTCCATTGCGTTTGCCTTTTCCAAACCCTTCCCTTTACCTTCATATGCAATATTTTACTTTTCGCTGCTATACTCTTAGAATTGCATGTATAGGTTGATTGCTTGACTTGTGCTAATTACTAAAATCTACCCACAACTAAAATTGGGAAAATGATAAATTTTTATTTGGTCAAGTAGTCTAATCACCCCCCCCCCTCTAGACATACTTTCGATCCTGCAGTCCCCACATAAACTCCAACTCGGAAACCCTACACTCACTTCGCTCCACTCCATCTCTTCTCCTCCCCTTCTCCAATTCGATCCAAATCCCATCTTCGGCAACCATGTATTGCTCCGGCAGCCGAGGACGAGCTAGGCCTCCGCATTGCAATTGAGCAGTCGCGAGTGGACATGGGGGACAGGTTCGGATCAGGTTCGTCTCCCCTCGCCCGCTGGCACAGCGCCTACGCCAGAGCCGGACCCTCTCGACCTGCGCATAGCTCCTCATGGGCTACTCAATCTGCGTCGCCCCTCCGTTGTCCACCTCCCCCGCCGGGCGCTGCTCCGCAAGGGCTGCGGTGGGTTCTAGTGCCCCCTCCCTCGGCGCCGTGGATGCGCACCAGAATCGAAAACACGTGGTGCCCGCCCCGGGAGGTAGTGGGCAACGCAGAGGGAGGCGATCGAGCAATCCGTTCACCGCCGCTGCCGCGCGTTGTCGGCGGTGCCCGATGAGGAGGAGCGGCTCCTCACGTGGGTTTACCGTGAGTGCTTATGGCAGCGGAGACAGACGCTCGCCGATTCCGGAGGAAGAACGCGAAGGTGCTCCGGCTAACCATTGAGCAGTCCCTGCGCGAGGCAGTGGAGGCAGCGGCGAGGTGGCCAAGGTCAAGCGCAAGCATGACTGAGCTATCCCGCGTTTGAAGGGTTGCACCGTCATCTCCTCTTCTTCCGACCATGACGACGGCGATGACCCACCTCCTGCCGCAGACGCCTACCCGAACGCCTACAACAGCGCCGACGACCGGAAGGGCAAAGGGCCGGCGAGGAAGTGATGAAGCTCTGACGTCTCTGTCTTTAAATTCGAGTTTTTAGTAGTCTAGTTAAACTTGTTCGTCGTTTATGTGGATTATTTGAACTTTGGCAAATTTTTTGGAGATCTATTGGTGATCGGAATATGCATTTCTATGTCCATTTGGTGATTCACGTTGTATGCTTTAGTATGGATTTAGGATATCGGATATGAGATACACGGATGTGGACTACAAGATTTGAGGAGTGCCCGGTCAATGCCCGTGAACGCGCATGGGCGCGTCCACAGGTTTTTGAGGGTCGGATTTAGTGAGCAGGCTGTAGATGCTCTAAGAATGCACAGTAACAGAGAAAACACAAAAAAAAAAACTAAATACATAGTACAACACAACGCATGGATCAGCCAGAAGAGAGGCTGAGGAGGCAACCTCATAGGTCGCCGGTTGAGCACTATTTGGAACGAGGCGACTGACAATATATTCAGATTGCCGATGACCCTTGACTTTTATCAAGTTTCTTTGTGGACAATATAACTATTACCATATATTAAACGAATGTATGGAGTATTTGATTATCGGTAATCCAGCCATGATGACCTTTAAAAAAAATCTCATATACTCCTCAGCACATCTTTGCAGGGGGAACCCCTCAGCCATTACGAACATAAATTGATATCCTCAAAGAAGAGAAGGGGGAAACTGAAATTCACCACACATTTGGTCATTCTATCTAGTATAATGAACTGACAAATCGAGTGTACTGATGGGCTTAGACGGGCAATGCATATTGCCGACATATCAGTGAAGGCTTACACTCGCTCCTTCACCATCCGATTTTACAAGTACAACAGGGATAACAGGTGACAAGAACTATGTAGTGAAACAATAGTAGATCCTTGCAAGAGCGGTCTAATGTGCTCAGAGGGTGCCAAAATCAGGCTGGCCGCTCACCATCTGATGCAACAGGCTTCTGTGATGGAGTACTCTGATCAACATCCATAGGCGCGCTTGCTCTGGGAGGCGATGGCGGCTGCACCTCGAAGTCCGGATAAGCAGCTTTGTACCTTGCCCTCAGCCCTTCATCCACAAGCCTTGTTCCGCTTACCTGGTTGCCAAGAGAGAGCCATCTAAACAGAAAAAAAAATACGAAAAGGTAAGTACATGGATAGTATCTGGTATGCAGAAGAACTATGAGAGGGGAGAGATGCACACCCAGCTTGCGTGTTATGCATTCTAGCAAACAGTTCGAGCTTCCTTGTCCTTGGGCTTATCCGCTCTAGCATGGCGTACATCTGTACAGCAAAACAGACTTGAAGCAGCGCTTTTGAAACGAAAACTATCATAAGAAATTAAAAAATGCAGGTTTTCTATTAGATGTCAAGTTAGTACATGCATGTTTTACTATATGGGATCCAAATCTGTGTAGGGATCTCTAGGTAGAAACAACAATCTGGCAAAGCTATTGCAAGTCATCTAACTACACAGAAACAAGTAAAGAGGCATCACTTGTTCTGAAGCAGCTAGTATGAACCATTGAAGCTGATGTATTACCTCGTCAGGTTTTCTGCTTGTTTCACGCACTTCAGCAACAATAACATCAGTGTC